GCCCGGGCTGTCCTGGAACTCACTCTGTAGACCAGGCTGGCCTCGAACTCAGAAATCCGCCTGCCTCTGCCTTCCGAGTGCTGGGATTAAAGGCGTGCGCCACCACCGCCCGGCCAGAGGTAATGTTATACAGGAGGTTATCTCTGGGAAAGACTGACCAACAGGACAGTCAGACAGACAGACGTGCATGTTGTACACGCACGCACGCACACACACACACACACACACACACACACGCAATGAGTGGGCCAGCTAAAGGTCCTGAAACCTGATAATGGTGGTGGTTGACTGGTGGTAAAAATAGAAAGATAGTGACCAGTCATGTACAGATAGGCCAATTCAGGCCAAGAGATAAGCTATCAGGTCCATACTAGCTTTAAGATCTCCCATGTGCAGAGAACTGTTACCGTTCCCCTAATAAAATCTTCACTTGTAGGCGTAGTACTTAAACCCTATGCATATTCTTGCATCTTATACATCTACTTATCTATAACAAGCTGAATTCTGGGTTAAACTGGCTTCTGTGAAAAATATACCCCTCTCCTAGAAGAACCAGCCTAGGGCAGGGGAGGAACTGAGAAGAGGAATATGAAGCCCATGGCTGCCAGGATGGAGACTGTTGCTGCTGGTCTCAGCCTGAAGTTTTTGAGGGGAAGGTGAATTTATCGTGTGTGTGTGTGTGTGTGTGTGTGTGTGTGCATGTGTGTGTGTACATGTCACAGCATACCTTCAGGATCAGAAGACAGAAGGGGACCTGGAGATGAGATTGAACCCAGGTCATTAGACTTGGTGGCAAGGACCGTTTCTCATCATCAGCCACAAGCCTTTGCTTTTTAAAGACTGTATTCCTGTTTCCTTGCTAGTTGTGACACAGCCCTTGTCCTTGCTCTACTACTGTGTCCCATCTGAATTCTGTTTCAGGAGCATAACAATGCAGACTGCTGCTGGGTGGAGACCTCAGGGAGACTACCAACTTCTCTATAAACTATCAGTTCTCAACACATGGGTCTCTCTCCACCTCTTTGGCAAACCTCTACCCTCCAAAATATTTACAACTTACAACAGTAGCAAAATTACAGTTATAGTGTAGCAACAAGAATAATGTTATGGTTGGGGGTCACCACAGCATGAGGAACTGTGTTAAAGGGTCACAGCATTAGGGAGATTGAGAACCACTGCTATAAACAGCAATAAATGGCTACTACAGGGATTAGTAACAGCCCAAGATGGCTTGGGTCCTCCATCCATTTCTTCACAGTCATGAAGTCCTGGTGTCAATCAGCTGCAGAACCTTAAACGTAGATGTGGCTTTTGGACACTTGAGTATACATTATCATACAGAGAAAGAACACGGAGTGGTCTTCCCTGGCTGATTTAACCTGAAGCCGTGAGGTAAGATGGCCTCTTACTTCTTTTCTCCCTACAGTTTCTGGCCATGAATTGAACTTAGGATGTCTTGGAATTCTTTCTGCTACAGACAACCCAGACTGTAAGAATACAGAGAGAGCAGCCATGAAAGGCCCACCTTCTGCCACCAGTCTTTCTGCTTAACAGACCAGGCCCCTAGTGGAGACGTCACACCCATTATTGTATTGGGGATGATTGTCCCAGAGGGGTGAGTGGAGGACTGTCCACTGCAGCCATTCTAGGGCATTGTGCAGGACGTTTGTTCTTTCCAGCAGAACTGAAATAAGGCGGTTACTGTGTCTAACCTCTGCTGAGAGTTGGAGACCAGCCTGGACTATATAGTAAATGCCAGACTAGCCTGACCTACTACCTTGTGAGACCCTGTCCAGTGGGGTAACACTGTGATCCCAAGACTTGGGGGGTGGAGGCAGAAAGATCAGAAGTCCAAGGTCATGCTTGGCTACATAGCAAATTTGAGGTCAGCCTGGGCTACGTGAGACTTTTTCTCAAAAAGATGAAAGAAAGAAGGAAAAAAAGAGAAAGATAGATGGACAGAAAGCCAGCCAGCAGAAGTAAACTCCCCTGACCTATTCCTTTTCTCCGTGATCTCTCTGTTCCCACCTCTCGAGAGTGTAACCATGGTGGAGTACATCTGTACTTCCATCACTCAGAGACACGGAGCCGATCTCTAGTTTACACCAGCCGGGTCTACACAGTGAGTCCTGAGCCTGGGCTATGTAGCTTGACACTGTCTCAAGGAAAACAAAACAGCCCCTCTCGGAGCTCATATCCTTTCCAGTAGAGCTCCATAGGCAGAATGAGGAAGCACTGCGTTCACCCCGAAATACGTTGTCTAATACCGAATTGGGCCAAAGTACAAGGCTGAGTCAAGGTCGAGCGTCCGAAATCTGCCAACCCTTGGCTCAGCTCTGCTCTCAAAGGAGAAAGTCTTTGCTCTCATGCGATCCAGCTGGGTGAGCATATGGCTTATAACATTACCTACGCTTCCACACGTCTTGTAGGGGAGGCTCTGCGAAACTCCGCCCCTTCTCCTTGCAGCTTCTCCTTAGTCCTGAAGAGGCAGAGTAGGGAGAAAGGGAGGGGTAGGGTAGGGGTAGGGGTAGGGAGAGAGAGAGAGAGAGAGAGG